TGTTACCCTCCAGTCTGGCCCTGGGGACAGAACGGCTCCCTGCACCCCCACACAGGTCCCCCAGCACTCTACCGTGGCCTTAAATGGCCCCTCACTTCCACTTATGTGTAACAGCTGCAAAGGTTTGATAGGCTACAAGCCGAGTGGGTGAGCTGTGCCTAAGAACTTTGCAAGACAGGTGGCAAAAAGTTTACAGAGGGTGCAAATAGCTTTTCCAAATGCAGGGAGTTGCTGTGCACAATGCATGTTTTTTACTGGAGGATTTGAACTGTAACCAGAGCCCCCATTGTAAACCCTGGGCTCTGATTGGCTACTATGGAGACATAAAAGCTGAGGGAGGGAAAAGCAGCTGTGGAGAGAACCTTCAGGATAGCTACACCAGCCTGGAGAGAGGGGCAGATGCTCAGCCCCTCTTTCCCTGCCAGGCAGAGGGAACGGAGCTGAGGCTTAGGGGCAGATGCTCAGCCCCTCTTTCCCTGCCAGGCAGAGGGAACAGAGCTGAGGCTTGTTGGGGTGTAGACTTCAGGACAAAAGACAGCTTGAGTCATTTGAGGAGAAGCTGATTCCCCATCCGGGTCGGAGTTGTGCAGTCAGGGACACAGGTACCAAGGGAAAGAGTGTGGAGGGTTTGGTAAGCTAGTTGGGAGCTGGAAGAAGCTGCCTGATCAGGGACCTGCAGAGGGAAGTCCTTTGTTTGGACTGGAAAGGCTTGTACTGCAGGGACAGAGACCTGCAGAGGGAACCCCCTGTCTGCGTGTGGAGGTGCTAGGGGAGAGAGACAGCCCAGAGAGGGAGTGGGCTGTGAGAATCCCAAATCTGCATGTGTGTGTAAGGGGACACTTAACCCCTAGTGTTTGCACATGGTGTATTTTTCAGAAGGAAACTAAAGAAAGAAGCCTATTACCTGCAGTGGCTGATTGAAGACTTGTCTTTTTGCTGAGTTACCAAGAAAGAGCAAAGAGTCCACCTTCCCCAGAGCAGCAGAAGCCTCACCTCTGCCACCTAGTGGTGGATCATAGTTAAAGCTGTATTACCATTGTAAAAGGGGCTTAGGTGGGAGCCCTGTTACTGAGTCAGGCCAGACAGGATGACCTGACAATTCACCCCACCAGGTGGTAAAAATCACACACCGGGGTGAAGGCTGGGTGATTATCCTGCCACGGCTGGGGATAAATTCAGTGGCGGGGCATAGGCATTTTGCCTTTGGGCACCAGAAGACTTACATGAGGCAACCAAAACTCAGAAGAGAGGAGTGCAAGGAGCTGAACTCATGACTCTGCAGCACACCGGGACCATGGGATGCTGGGTGGTGGAGGATTGGCAACAGGACTAGGTACTTACCTGGAAACGGTGGTAGCTCCGGGAGTCCAGGAAAGAGCCGTGGCTCTTTGAAGTGGCTTGGTGGGAAGCCGGGAGAGAAGTAGAGGTCCCTAAGGTTGGAGGCGGGTAGAAGAACTAGACTATCCTCTGCAGGATAAAATGGCAGCCTCGAGCGTAGCAGCAAGGGAGCGGCTGGGGCCACTCCCGGTACAAGGCATAAGTGGCAGACATAGAGAATGTGCCGCGCTAATGAGGCAATTAGCAACCAGGACTGCAATGATTATAATGTATCTTTGAGGCATCCGGCACCTTATCGGCAGCCTGGACTTCCCTCGCTAGTAAAGTAACTAGCAAGACTCTTGCTGTTTACCAAATCTCCTGCTGGGCAATAAAGCTAAAGTATGAGAAATCTTTACCTGGGTGACTTTACTAATTCTGTGCAGGGCAATATCACTGAATCCCTCTTATTATCTTTCAATCTAAGTCGTGGCAGGAGAGTGTAAAGGAAGACAGAATTAGCAATCACAACCTGTTCACAGCCATTTACAGGTTTCCCTTGATTTATGTGAGTTCTTTATATGTGAATTTGCTCTTATGCAATGAGCATATTTAGAATCATAATTCATTATATACAAGGTAAATTTGCTCTTATGCAATGAGCATATTTAGAATCATAATTCATTATATACAAGGTAAATTTGCTCTTATGCGATTAACATAGATGCCCCCCTGCCCAAGCAGGTAAGTCTGTGGGGGGAGGGGACAGAAAGGGATGTGGCCCCACTCATCCCAGCCCTGGCTGCAGCTGCTGGGCTGCACCATGCTTCACCTGTCCCCTTGCGCCTGGGCTCACCCCAGCTCCTGGCCTGCGCTGTGCCATGATGCAGGCAGATGGCACTCGCTGCTCCTGGGGCTGCTGCAGCCAGGGCTAAGGTGAGTGCCACTCTGTTCCCTCTGCTTTGCTGCCTTGTGCAGCCCCAGGAGTTGCATCCCTCCCTCTGCCCTTTCCTTAGTCCTAGCCTCACTCCCTCCCTCCCTTCCTCCCTCACTGCCATGGGAACCTATCCCTATTTGTTACATTGTAAAGTGGGTTCGTTTTATGCAAATTTGATTTGATTTATGCGCTGTTCTCCAGGAACCCATGTGCCGCATAAATTGAGGGAAACCTGTATTGTTATGGGAAGAGGAGTGTGACCAGAGGGAAATCAACCTGAGTTATGGGGGAGAAACTGTTTTGAAGTGTTATAGCCAGGTGAATGTAATCATTGAGGTTGTTTGATGCAAGTGGGACCACCCAGTGTGGTGGAATTATTCATCTACTGCTGCAGTTGTAAATTCTATTCAAATTGTTGGTTTTATTGTCAACTATTGATAATATATACATACATACATACACACATATACATATACATACACATATACATATATATATATGTGCTGACACCTCAGTCAGCAGACATGCCTAAGGGAGTTCCCAGGGCTACTGGCACCCTGAGGATTGCATAATAATAATGCCTTTTCTTAAACTGGCATATTGCCCGGCCTAGCGTGCTGGCAAGGGATACATATGCATTGCCCTGGCCACCTTGAATGTCCCCTGGCTCCAGTCTAGGCTATCCCACTGCTCAGCCCTACCCCATTGTGCACGAATCTGTGGTCCCTGACAGTACTATCTTACAGCAGTGAAAATTAGTTTGCTGCAATCTAATGGTGTTGCACATGTAGACTGTGATGCTTTACACAACAGCAAATTAGTTTACTGCACAGTCAAGTGGATGTGTAGATGCATCCACTGTGAATTACTTTTGATACTTTGGTTGGGTATTTGGAAAACATGTATCTATGTATCATTGGTAAATTGTTGGTGGCAGGGCTGGTGTCACATCTCTAACACTTTAATGCTTTCATATTAGATACCATATGGGACTTTGCAACTGAGGAGGAGGAAGTTATCTCCATTCTCTATTTTCTGTTCGAGAGAAATGACTGGCGCTATTGCAGTGCTTTACTGGCTATTCCACCTATGTCACATAGATTAATAAGCAGCCTCTTCCACCTGACAACGTGGGGAGCTGTAGAGAACTTGAGCAGTGTACATAGTGAGATGAAGCCATCATTTATTGCTCTGCAGAAAACATCTTTACTACAGTTATAGTTGTCTCAGTTCTTTACCCCATGAAACTAATTATAAAGCATAAAGGGTGTTGCCAGAAGTTGCACGATTCTGGTGATATAGCTGTTATTTATGCATTCTCATTCATAAGTAATCATCCTTAGAAGAAAAAAACCGTTTTCAGGTCTCTTGCTTCTGAAGAAGGAATGCAGTAGAAATATAGAAGACATTTCTTAAGCTGCAAAATACCTTTAATCTTCAGAGGAGGTTTTTCTCTGAGAACTGGTATTCTCTGAAACTAGCAAGCCATCCAAAATCATTTACTTCTTATGTAAGTCAGTAGCCTGTGTTTATTGACCATAGTTGTCAGGTTGAAGCTGGTCTGGCAGAGACGACACCTTCCATGTCAAAAGCTTGAGGACCTGAGACTTGGAATGATTTTGATCAAAAGTAGGACCTCCTCAGAGAAGACAACTTTATATGTGTACTAGATGTTGTTTTATGGATACTCTTGCTTTGGTAGGGGCAATTTTTTTTTCAGAGTGTTCTGGGTAGTACTGAATAGGTAGTTTCCTTTCCTATTCCTATTGCTAGTCAAGCTTCATTCTGTCCTGTATTGATAGATTTTAGGAAGAAATATATTTTACGTTAAATATCTTGTTTAAATTTTGGATTAATTATATGAGACACCGCTCTCTTGCTTGTAGTTGATCCATTACTGGGGTTCTATTACCATACAATAAATAATGATAGGGCTTTTCCTTTACAGAAAAAGAAGGAAAAAGTGAAGTTCTAATGTTTTATTGCATTAAGAAGCATAGGTATATGTTTTGTAAGTCACTGAAGTGTATGGCTACAAAAATAAAATAAAAAAAATTTCATTAGGAAATGACTGTTTATCTCATGTATTTAAATTAGTGCATTTTCTGTTTTGTGTCCAGTAAAAGAACACACAGAAAAATTAATTGTATCTACTTGTATTGATTTAAATCCTTGCAGATTTTTATTCTTAAGGTTTAATAACTTGGTATCAATTCATTTTTTACAGTTTTTTTTTATAGTTTATAGTTTATTTTTCTCTATATCTTCATTTTTTAGAATGCTATCAAGGGTGGCAAGAGTCCACAAAACAAAGAAAAACGCTTCAGGGAGATCAGCACAGACACTCCAGGACCTGGAAGCTATAACCAAGCTCCTTCTATGGGTTTTGCAATAAGTAACAAGGAAAAAAGAGAACTTAAAGAACGTGGCCAACTGGTACGCTAATAGAAAAAGGATTGCATAATAATAATGCCTTTTCTTAAACTTTACATTGTTCACTGAAATAAGCAGATTACAGACGTTTTCAAAAGCTGGTCTTAGCCTGAGATTCATGTGCAGAAAAAACAGTTGTACAACAACATTTGTGCTCATAGTCTTCATACACCTGGTGATGGGAAGGTGAATGACTGTGGGAAAAATTATAAACATGAAGCAAAAAAACCCCAGAACTACTGTATCTTATTTCAAATAAGGTTACTTTTAATATAAAAAATACACTTTATGCACTGATATTTTAAATAAATTGGAAATATAACAGAAGAAAAAGCAATTTTGTGCTTGTAGTTGTGATGGCTAATGGTTAAAACATGTCACTGTTACTGCTGAGATTCAGAGTCTATTCGTGGCTACATGCAGGCATTATGTTTCTACCATGAAAATCACCACTCTTCTGGTAGAAGGTAGGACTGTATAAGTGTTAATTTAGTTTCTTCTAGAATCTAGAGCAAACATGCCTCCTCTGGGAGGAAGATCTTCCAGGCTGACACCCAGAAGATCTCCCCTAAAATAGAGGGTTTTTTTGCAAGAATGAATGCTTGTATGCTTCTGCTGGACTCCTTTGTGATCAGAGGAATTGTACAGCAAGAATTTGGAATTGTGCCCTTCCCAGACTGGGGAACTCCAGTCTGAGGAAGATTGGGGGGACATTTGCCTGCAATGTGTCAGGTCACAGGGAACCCAAGAGCTCTCTCAGGATGGCATTTAAATGTGCCTTGCTTTGCGGCCCCTGTGGAACTGTAGGGCAAAACCAGAGAAGAGGCCAGGCACAGGGGTTGTAAGGTTTCCAGCCCTTCAGCATCTCCCTGCATCTTGCAACCTGTTTGCCTGGCAGCCCATTTTTAATAGTGAGACTGGGACACAGGTGGGAAGCATTGCCCCACTGCCCCACTTCCCTCCTCTTTTAGTTCAGTGCATGGAAGGAGATCGGAGTGGCAGGGAAAGACATATTTCCCAGACTGGGGAGTCTTTTCACTCTGTTCCACTCCCTTCTGGGAATGGGAGGAGTGGAATAGCCACTGTTCCCCTTGCCTCCCCCCAGTTGGGATCATCCTGGTCTGACCAGGGGAGAGGGGGTACCTGCAGGCTGAATGCTTGTACTGCTTACTTTTCTGGAAAGATTTCTAGTGGTGGATATTTCTCAGAAATTTCCACTACTGGAAATGAATGCCTCTTCGTACCTCATAACTCTGCCACTGCTGTGTAATTGTGGCAATTTTTGTATGGTTTGTTCCCATCTTGTAAGAGGAGTCCCTGCTCTGTAGGTATTGACACTTACCTAATGGAAGGAATAATAGCTTTGAGATACTTGGAAGAAAAGAATATAAAAATTGAAAAGTCTAATTATATTATCTACTGTATCTGTGACCAATTGTTAAAGGTGTGGTGTTTAAAAATACCTTTTGTATAGAGACTTCATTCTTTGCCTACCTTTCCAAAATGAAGTAAAGATAGGAACTGTAAACAGAAACTACTTTGGCTGAATCAACTGGAGAGTAAAGATGGAATTGTAAAAAAAGAAAAAAAAAGAAAAAGGAAATTAGGTTAAACTACTAAGGATTTCAGGGAAAAAATCAGAAAAGCCAAGGCATAAAATAAGAAAGTAGCAAGGAATATAAAGGGTAACAAGAAAATATTCTGTAAATTCATTAGTACTAAGAGAAAGATCAAGGAAATAGTTAATACGTTGGTCAACAGGGAGGGGCAGCTAATATTAAATAATGCTAAGAGGGCCAACTTATTTAATTGCTTTTTTTCTTCAGTTTTGCACAGAGAAATGAATCTCAGTTTATAAATACTCTGCCAATTTGTTTAAGTGTGAAGTATTGTACTGTTATGCTTCTGTGCATTTGCCATTATAAGATTATGATCCACATGGGATTATTTAATGGTTCCTCAATATTCTGAGCTTGGTTACAAATGTGTACCTCATGACAAAAGTGAAAAATAATCAAGATAACCTTTTTATTAAAGTGTTGGGATATATCTTTTATTTTTGGTATGCTCAGCTTCTATTTAAGTTACATATTTTTTGTTTTTATAGAGAACTGCAGGCAGTATAAAAATCTACCGAAAACTGGATAGTCCCTCTATTCCTTCTCCAGGTCAAGCCTTTGGGTATGAGGAAACAGAGGATGGCACTCTTATAAAACAATACCCACCTGAAAGAGACTTAACACTGGGCCCAGCTTATTATCACCCAGTATTTGTAAGTAATTTTAAAACAACTTTACATGTCCGACCATAGGTTTACGGAGTAATTAAGCATTCTTCTTTAACACTTTCTCCTTGAGAAATATTGAATAACACCAATACCTTTTTGTGTGGATACAGAAGCAAAAAATCATGTGTCATTTGTATTGGTACAGTTACACTGAAGTCAGTGAATTAGCTCAGAGTGGAAAGCAGTATAGATGTAAAAGATAACTATTACTGCCTTTTCTATGCAGTCAGAAATAGAACTACTCTGGATGCCACTGTGTTCTACAAGCAGAATATAGCAGCTAACTTAAGTAGGAATGAGTTTGTAAGCTGGATGAACCCTCCTCTGGTAACCACACAAGTTTCTGTATATTTTTTCATTTAAAATAAATTCAGTTTCTTGCTCTTTTGGTGGCGATTATAACTCTCTGAATACTAAACAAAGCAATATGAGTCTGCAGGTGGGTTGAAGGAACAGCTCTAAGGGATGTGAATTGTCTCATTCTTCCAAATGGAATGTTTACTCAGAAGCCTAAGACATCAAATTGTGACTATTTTAGTGCTGTTTAGTGCTGGGGATAGTAGGTGATGGCACCAATTTAAAATGTTTCTGTTTTAAGTAATGAATTTTTGTCAGCTGATTGTGTTACCTGATTTTCTTTCCTTTTATAAAATTTCAGAGGTATATTTGCCTATCCTTTTCTTGTTCCTCATTTTGATTTGGAGCATAATAATCACATTCCCCTGACTTTCAGAAGAGAGAATTGAAATTCAGGTTTAGTGATATAGGTTTTGTTAGATTTTTCTAAAATTTCAAAGGTGATTCAGTTTAATAGCCTCAGATTTTTTCTCTTCATTTTTCTTATCTTTCTTGTCATTTTAGCAAGAATCCCTGTAGCAGAGGATTCTTGTATAACATTTTTGTCTTCATTTAAAGCACTATGATTTTTCACTCCCCATTTTGCAGTTTCTCTGCAAGGGGTTGATTTTGTAATGTGTTAAGAACTTTGGCCCTAATCCAGCAAAGCACTTAAGTGCATGGGAAATTTTACGTATCTGAATAATACTCTTGACTTTAATGACATGACTTACAGTGCTTAACGTTTTGTATGTGCTTAACTGTGTTACTGGGCCGGGGGTCAAAGTGCTCAGCTGCTTTCAGGATTACCTCCTAAGTTTGGAGACAGCAGTGCATGCACTTGTCATTTGAGGCTGCATTTTCTCAAGTGATTTAATAATGTGTAACATTTTATGGAGAGACATATAAGGAAAGTCTTATCTGTAACCCAGTCCTGCTTGATTTAAATTCCTTATGCCCTAGGGTTCTGGAAATAGAAATAGAGGAACACCCTTGCTGGTGTACTTCCTGAACCATAGGAGCTTTGATAGCTGTCTTGTATTTTTGGAGTTTAACTACATTGTGTCATGCTTTGTAAAAAGAATAAAACATCATTATAAAAATAAAACAGTAAGGTCTTTTGATAAACTTTGGAAACTTTAAATTGGGGCTGGCCAACTGGTAGTCCTTGGGTTGCATGTGGCTTGTCAGGGGTAAAACTGCAGCCCCCAGGTTCCCACCTCACTGCCGTTCCACCTATTGCTCTGGCTGCAGCAGCAGCTAGGGGCTTTAGGCTCCCCCTCCCTCCAGCTTCCCTTTTCCCACCTATTCTCTTGTCCTGGGGGTGGGATGGAGCAACATGGCATAGCTTTTATGTTGGAGGAGCCTGAAGCCCCAGGGGATTCCTGAATGGCACAGTGTAATGGAATTCACTGCTGGGGAGTTAGGATGAGCCCAGGTGCACGATGCAGTGGGGGATGGGAGTGAGTATAGGGAATAACAGTGGGGTGGCTCATAGTGCTGTGGAGCAGTGCAGAGTCCAGTTGTGGTATGCCTGAGCAAAGGATGTAGTGGGGCTGGGCACCCAGATGCCTGGTATATTTGGGGAGCACCTTGGCACCTGGTGCAGTAGGGAGGTATTCTGCATGTGATGCAGTAGGGGACATGTGGTGCAGCAGCAGGGGCACTTGGGTGCAGTGTGGGAAGTCATGGATGCAGCAGTAGGGGACATGGAGTGCAATGGGATGGGGTGCTTCTGCCTGCCCCCCTGCCCTTCACCTAAGCAGGAATTGCAGTTTGTCAGGGGATGCACCAGTCCTCTCAGGGGGTGCACGTGCACCCCTGTGCAGCCCCCGCATGTCGCCACTGCCCCCAAAACTATTTTCTGTCTGAAGTATCTTTAAAAACAAAAAATTCTCTATAAAGTATGAATACCAGTTTAAGACACCTCTTCCTTGTAGCATTAATTTTTGTCACCTGTGTCCTCACTGGAAGAAAAAATAGGTCTTTTTGCTATGGCATAATTAACAAGTGCTAGCTGTTGGCTTGAATTTAACTTGGGCAACCATGTGCAGACCTAATGACCAACCATGGCATGTCTGTTTGATAGGAGGAAGCTTTTATTGATACACAATACTAGTAAATGATAAGTGAAGCGAGCAAGCAGTTAAGCAAATTTCGCCATCCACCGGCTTTAGGGCTCTAGCAGGATTAATCGGCATTTGACCAGGAATGTCGCTGTCTTTTGTAGGTTCAGAAATTTGTCAGAGGATGAGCCCTCCCAGCCAATACCCACTGTTATAAACAGCTGCTAAAATTAATCTTAATATTCTAATAAATGATCCCAGATTGGTTTTAAATTCCTTTGTTTCACCGAAACTTCCAGAATCAGATTAAATTAGACTTCATATGGGCCAAGGAAGTGCCAGTTAGTTAAAGCTTATATTTTTGAGAAAGTAACAGGGCAATAGGGACTGCTTCTTATCTCTTTTCTTCCCATGGTAAAATGCTATTCTAACCCTGGATAACAAGACTGCTTTGTTCTTACTGGTTGTGTCCAATTAGACAGATGGACAGTTTTCTTTGTTCTACTGACCAAGTCAGCCACAGCATCTGCAAGTGCCCATGTTATGGTACATCACTAAAGGACAAACTTCAGGCCTGCTACTGCCACTTAGCCCATAGGCCCTTTGAAAATGGCCAAGTCTTGCAGCATCATACCCAGGGCTCATGTCACACAAGCCTATGTACAGCCTACAATCCCTTCCTTAACAGTCGACTTTTAAAAAATCAGACTGTTTCCATCTTATGGCACAGGTCTGGCACGGAGTGCTGCAAGCTCAACTTCTCTATGCCTAATGGGTTGCAGCCATTAGCAGAGACTGATCTTTTTAGTGGCTGTCTTGTCACTTCAACCCAGGCTTTGTCTCAGTCAACATTTTCCACACAGGAGGGCTTTCAGCTTTCATTACGGCTTGCCTGGTCATTAGAGCCTTACGGGTGACTATATGAGTGACACATATGACATAGCATTGTGAGCATAATTCCAACTAATAACAGTAAATTAAAAACTACTAATCTTAAACTGTAATAGGTATGACTTTACCTTATTACATAATGGTACCATGCACTGCTGTTATACGGCCCATGTCAAAAGAGAGGTTGAGCTGCCAGTCTGAAAAAGACTCATTCTATAACCCTGATTTGATTTCTCCATCTCCAGACTGTCAAGCACAATTATTATTATCCAAATTATGGCCACTATTAAATCTAAAATAACCACAATGGGATGTGTCATCAGATTTAGCAGACCCATTGTAGATGGAGACTATCCAAGCAATACTATCCACCAGTGATGCTCCCCTACTACCTTGACTTTCTCAGGTATAGAATCAATGTTTTTGCTATTGTGCTATACTAAAAGTATTATCTTGCAGGCATGTTCAGCATTTTTGGTTAACAATTTCTGCAAATCTAATATTTTAGCAGCTGCTGTGGCAAATGCAGATCCATTCCTATACGGTTAGGGGCAATATTAACATGTAAGGTAATATTATACAACAACAAATGGACAGTAGGTGCTGGAGTAGGAAAATTAAAATCACAGGCATACATTTGCATTACAGTGCATGCGCAAAAGCTGCTATTAGTAAGAGATACCGAATAAATAGATTTTTCATTAATGACTACAAAGCTACATACTGTATGTAAAGAAACACATCCTTGGCCTGTGTAAATGGGGGCCAACAGCTACAGATTTCATCTTCACAGTGTACTTGCAAGTCATCGTTACATTATACAAAGACGCACATTGCTTGTGTTGATACTATCTTTTTACATCATATCCTTGTTGATGCCAGCCTTGGCCTTGAAGTGGTGATTTCCGCTACCAGTTGTGTTTGGATTATGCCAAACAGTCTTACTGCTCCTACCTTCATCAGGAGGGTTCGCATCTTGTCCTGACTCTGTTATTTCTGTTAGACAAAGAGAGGGAAGAGGTCATTGCTCCAGTTATTGACCTTTTAATGTCTTTAATTGCAAAGATTTAAACCATGTATGTATAGGTTGGTTTTGCCGCATTTCTTCCTCTCTAGCTCTTTTCTTTTAATGAGCATTAATTTTTACTAATTTTACATGTTCTTGTTTTTCTTGGGCTAACTGCCAAACTTGCATTAATTTGCTAGTATGTATGATTGTTTTTTACCACTGGTATTTGTACTTCGTGTTTTTCACACAGGCAGACAGTCTATAAGGACTCTGATAGCCCAGTCTGAATCTGAGTAAATGGTCTTTTACAGTTTTTTTTGCAATGATACAAGTGCTGCCTATGCTGAACGTGGAACACATTTATCACTTTAAATTTTCTCATTTTTTTTTACAGTGATTCCTCCATAAACTGTAAAGGACTTTCCCTTTTTATAACAACTTGATTTATTAACAAACCATATGCACCCACATTATTCTTTTAGTTTTTCAGATGGCTTCCTTCTTTCAAGCAATTTTTAATTTTAACAACCTATACAATGGGGCAGCCTTTTCTTCATATTCCTTGATATGAACATTTTTTGAGAACCCCGTCAGTCTTAGAAAGGACGTTATGGTTGTAACGTCTGCTGGAGCAGGCAACTTACGGATAAGATTTATTCTTTACTGGTTGGGATTTGTTTTTC